CCCTAGCCTCTTGGTGTCGTGCAGAGAGACTGGGCAGCTGTTGGTCGCCTTCCAGGGGTGTGACTGAAAGACAGCAGTTAAGAAGGAGATTCAGGAGCACAGAGGAGGGGGCAAAGGATGTGAGGGAGGCAGGGGTGGGGCAGAAAGTGGAGACGAAAGCAGACGACAGAATACTGTTAGAGAGCAGGAAAGAACGGGAAATTAGAGAAAATAAAAATTCCGCTGTTATCAGGAAACGAACCCGGGACCTATTGATTGAGAGGCGAACACCTTAACCTCTAGGCCACAAGAGCCCTCAAAGCTTCTACTGAGGTTCAAACTTTGTTGAGAGTGGTGAAGCATCTTGTAATAAAACATCTCCAGTTCGAGTGAGTCATTCTTTGGTGTACCATCTTCAGTGGGGAGACGGTTTGAAAGTTGTCAGTTTAAAGACGAGTTCGTTGCACATGCTTTTCTGTTTGCCTTCTGGGATGGGGGGGGTTTTCAACGGCCCGGTTAGCGAGCAAGGAAGACAAGTTAGAATACAAATATTTAAACCGAGTGCTCATTTGCAGGGCTCCTTTGTAAAACGCTTCATACGCCAAATCTGGGTATTTCAGGAAAGCCCCATTGCACTCCATAATCTTACGATAAAATCATTGTCCTTAGAACCTAATATATCCCCCCACACCCACCCCCCTCTAAAAAAAACCCACTGTATCTATTGACATATTTACTATGATAAAATTGCGTTTCTTTCATACTTTTGTTTATAGCTCATATCTTTTAATTTTTTTTTCTCGAATTTTCTCAGTTTTGTGGTAAATGGATTTAGATATCTAGTTTGTTTTGTCACGGGGACCCCCATTTTAACTTTTCCATCTTTTTCCCAGATGTGCTGTAGCTGTGGAGCAGAGCCAGGGGTGACTAAGGACGTGATGTTTGCTTGTTAGAAGATGTCGCTTTGTATCGCAGCTTTCGTGTGATTTCATTTGCACTCTAGAAAAATAGTAAAACGATACGGTGTGTTGACTTTTCCGAAGTTCCCATGCTTAGAGGGAGAAGTGAAGAGATGATTTATGGTCCTGGGGGGGGGGGACCAGGATGAGGAAGGGGAGAAGGAGGAAGAGAAAACGGATGAATAGGAAGACGGAAGAAAGGGAGAGTTGCTTTAATTTAATCACCGCAGGCAGAATGAGTGAGGCATAAACAACAAGAACTTCTCTCACCTCGATCTAGTTTGTAAATTAGTCACACCCATGATCTTATGGTTGGGAAGATCTACACCTGGCCTTCTCGGACATGAGCGAAAAATCTCGAGGGTCCCGTATTCAAGTAGCGCATGTTTAAGATCCCTTGGTCGTCCAAAATCGATGAGAGTAGGCTTCGGCCCCCACCGGGGCAAAAATTAAAAATATCCTACGAACTGAAAATGCTCAATTCATTAATGTGCCTCGCGCGCTCATATGACCTTAGGCAGTTGCAGGCGCCGTTATACACTTACCCAAAAAAAACATAAAAGAAACATTCATTGATCAGCTGCTGTGTCACAGAGCGGTACTAGATTAGGAATTCGAACCAAAGTCGCCAGCAACACAGTTTACCGTGACAAAAAACTGACCTCATTGCTTGACCCAGACGAAACTAGATTTATGGGAGAGTGAAGCGTATACATTAGTTGAACGCTGAAATGGTGGAAGGGGGTAGTAGGATAGTGGTAGGGGAGGGAGAGGATAAGAGAGAGAGAGAGAGAGAGAGAGAGAGAGAGAGAGAGAGAGAGAGAAAGAGAGAGACAGAGAGACAGAGACAGAGACAGAGACAGAGACACAGACACACAGAGAGAGAGAGAGAGAGACAGAGACAGAGACAGAGAGAGACGCTGTCTGTGCGTTGTTTTGTTTCAGGACTTTCTTCATGTCAAGGTTGGTGAATGTACACAGAGCTGACACGATCTTGAACCCTCTGCTCCAATTTCCCGAGGGCTGAGAACATGAGAACATTGGTCTCATGCTCGCTAATTGCATCAAAGGGGAAAAGGTGGGGGGGGGGCGGTTTAAATGAGTCTTTTATTTTTATTCTTTAATTTGGGAGATGGAAGTTAAACCATAATAATAAAAAAAAAATAAGATAATACTTTATTATCCCAGAAGGAAATTTTTCTCGGCTGCACAGGACCGTAAAAACACATGCAAAGTTGGAGGTAAGAGAAGTTTTGTTTCAGGACACCCCAAGAACACCATGAATCTAATGTTCAGATAGAACATATTGACACAGAACAAACACCGATTTTGTAATGTTCTGTCTGTGCAAATGGGGTTTTTGGATTTTCCCTCAGCGGGCTAAAAAAAGAAAGAAATAAAATAAAGGTGTTCTGATTTAAATGAGGGAAGACGCTAAAGCCAGCCCATGTATTTTACACTAATTGTAGATCTAGTGACTTTGCTGGTAAATTTGTGTTCCCAGTGAAGGCTAGTTCGCTCAAGACACCTGATGTCAAAAAGTACACCATGGGGCTCTCGTGGCATAGAGGTTAAGGTGTTGGCCTCTCATTCAAAGGTCCCGGGTTCGAATCCGGGTAGCCACCGAAAAATGTTGTTCTCTAAAATTGTCTCCTTTCACCTCCTTTCCTACTCTCTAGCAATGTTCTGTCGTTTGCTTTCGTATCCTCTTTCTGCCCCCAGTCCCTCAACTCCTTTGCCCCCCCCCCCCTCTTCTGTGCTACTCTTTCTGCAGACTTTATACAGCTACTCTTTGGCTCCTTCCTACTGCTGTCTTTCAGTCAAACTCCTGATCTTCTGGTAGGAAAGATCTACACCTAGCCTTCTCGAACAAGGGTGAAAAATCTCGGAGGGTCCGTGATTAAGTTGCGCACGTTAAAGATCCCTTGGTGGTCTAAAATAGGTAAGAGTATGCTTCGGCCGCCACCCGGACAAAATTCAAAATTTCCTACCAACTGAAAAAGTTTAATGTGTCCCGCGGCGCGCTCATAGGACCTTATGCAGTTGCAAGGGCAGTAAAATACATACCCCCCAAAAAAGTACACCTTCTGATGTCATCCTTGACTTGATGACGGCGCACAAAACAGTCATAACATAAAGAATAAAACAACACTAAGATGATTTTTGTGAAGACTTTACGGCATCAGCCTTGCTTTAGCCCAGCACAAAATATACACCCATCTAGAGAGATTTATTATAATACACTACGAGATGGGACACTCTCTACAACAAAGCGTGTTTGTCAATGATTCATGAGCAATGATACAGACATAGTCACGAACGTTGAATAGTGTTTTGTTTCGTGTCTCAAAAACAAGTTCTTTTTTAGTTAAAGAAGTTTTTCTGTCTATTTTATTTTAATACAAGAAATGACAGTCCCTAAAAGTAATCTGACACGAGTAATAATACGAATGTCTACACTGGCATTTCAAAGACTTTCATAACATTCACAAGAATCAGGAATAGAGGAGAGAACCATCTTGTCTACTACAGCACTCGAGGTCCTTAATGTCAAATTAGTGCAGAGAAAAAGCAAGATAGACAAACAGAAACAGCAGAAAGAAAGAAAAGAAGTAGGGCCTATCAAAGGCGCCCTTCAACCACAAGTTGAACCAATGTATTTTGTACAATCGTCAATCTGTGCCCACCATTCTCTCTCCCTCTCTCAAGTACCGGGTCTGGAAGAGACATTGGTGATCTCCACACAGTCCTAATATTTGGTAATCCTTCCAAATGTCGCAGTATTAAACTTTTAAAACATTTTCTGAAGAGACTCGTGACAGGAAGGCGGCAGGATAAAAAAGATTTGTTTGTTTGTGTGTTGGTTTGCTTGTTTGTTTATTTGTTTGTGTGTTCATGTGTTTGTTTGTTTGTTAAAGAACCACAAAAGAGAGAATCCAGTGACGAATCATGATCGTCAATGTCTGCTTCAGAAAATAATTGTTGCTCTTGGTCTGCCTCTCCTTATTTTTCCATCGATTTCTCCATTCATTAAGGCCAAATATCCAACACGCCTGTGACTGCACAGCAGTATAGAAAATGATAGTTTGTATAATTTATCTCCTATGTTTTGTTTTCCTATTAAACACCGAAGAAGATGACTTGGTATTGAACTGACTCATTAGAAGGCTACCAGGGAAAATGGGTGGTATAGTCATTCGTTTGTATTTCCTTGCTTGTCTGTCTTGACCTATTTATTGTTGGCTTCTCCTTTTGTGTTCATCAAAACAATTTTGTGATTTTAAAAAAAAGATCGTTAGATTCACATCGGCAACACATTAAAAATACTCGCACAGGGACAGAATGGCACTAGTCAATATGATATGCAGTACTAGTCCACAGTTATGTTTCTGTGGTGACTATCATTTATTTCCCCTGTCATTTTATTCATTTCGCTACCTGATAAATACAAAGATCTGTCTGACATTTTTGGCCGTTTTGAGTAATTAAAAGACCATGAGGTCAGAGACTAAATGTTCTATCTGCTCTTATCAAAATTGTAGGATTATTCGGAGTCGCTATCATCAAAATATTCAAAAAACTGTATTCGAAAAATCTTGACATGTTGTGAAACTCAAAACTTTTTTGGTCAAATTTCTCCACACTAAAAAACAACAACTAGGTACTGAACAGACAGAACTTTGTAATTCTAGGTTAGCCATTTGTTACTATTTCAACTATGTAAGATCTTGATAGCGATTGTTTTCTTCCCCAGAGAGGCTCGCATCAAGTTTCAGAGCAAAGGGGTAGCTGGACTGCACGCGAAAAAGCTTGACATGTTGTGAAACTCAAAACTTTTTACGTCAAATTTCTTCACAAAAAAAACAAAAATCCTCGGTACTGAACAGACAGCACTTTGAAAGTCTAAGAGATAGCGATCTGTATTCTTCTACAGAGATGTTTGAGACAAGTTTCAGAACAAGGGGTAGCAGAACTGCATTCGAAAAAGCTTGACATGTTGTGAAACTCAAAACTTTGTTGGTCAAATTTCTCCAAAAAAAAACAACAACAACTAGGTACTGAGCAGACAGAACCTTGTAATTCTAGGGTAGCTTTTTTGTTACTATTTCAACTAATGTAAGATCTTGGTAGCGGTTGCTTTCTTCCACAGAGATGCTCATGACAAGTTTCAGAACAAAGGGACACGTTGTTTCAGAACAAGGGGACAATTTTCAGAACAAGGGGACAAGTTTCAGAACAAGGGGTCAAGTTTCAGAACAAGGGGCCAAGTTTCAGAACAAGGGGTCAAGTTTCAGAACAAGGGGTCAAGTTTCAGAACAAGGGGCCAAGTTCCAGAACAAGGGGTCAAGTTTCAGAACAAGAGGACAAGTTGTGTCAGAACAAGGGGACAAGTTGTGTCAGAACAAGGGGACAAGTTTCAGAACAAGGGGTCAAGTTTCAGAACAAGGGGCCAAGTTTCAGAACAAGGGGTCAAGTTTCAGAACAAGGGGTCAAGTTTCAGAACAAGGGGCCAAGTTCCAGAACAAGGGGTCAAGTTTCAGAACAAGAGGACAAGTTGTGTCAGAACAAGGGGACAAGTTGTGTCAGAACAAGGGGACAAGTTTCAGAACAAGGGGTCAAGTTTCAGAACAAGGGGTCAAGTTTCAGAACAAGGGGTAGCAGGACTGCATTCGAAAAAGCTTGACATGTTGTGAAACTCTAAACTTTTTACGTAAAATTTCTCCAACAAAAACTTGAAACTGAACAGACAGAACTTTCTAAGTCTAAGAGATAGCCATTTGTTACTATTTCAACTATGTAAGATCTTGGTAGCGATCTGTTTTCTTTCACAAAGATGCTCTCGTCAAGTTTCAGAACAAGGGGTAGCAGGACTTCCGCCCACACCTGGTGTGGCAGCACGTCCCGTTATTGACGTCACAATCGGCGTCCACCTGACACGCCTGGCTGATCCAGCGCTCCAGGATACAGACGAGCGACTCCGGGGACATGGACAGACCCAGCTGCGGACACCGGCTCTGTGGCCGACACACGGGGGTCTCTGCCTCGTCGTCACAGTACTGGCCTGGGAAATGGGGAAACAACAATTATTTATTTAATCCCATGTCCATTTACATTAGATTGACGCCATCTGATATGTAGAAAGGTCGCGAGCTGTCAATGCACATTCTGCTATACCCAGGTCAGTCCATGTTTTACAGCTACCTATGGCTCTCCTGCCCCACATCCGTACGTCGTGTTTTACTATCTTATCCATACGACGTGGGGAACTCTGTGCCACCACTAACTTTCCAAAGAGGAAATGTATTCGTTAATCCGATCCGTATGCTTTGCAAAGCAGTCTGTCAAAATGATTTTTTGAGAAATACTGAAAGTTTCAAAGAGATCTTCGCTCTAGAAGTATTCTAAAATGTGAAGAATACAACCCATGGGGTACAAAATGACCCCAGGCCTACGAATAGGGTAAAGTACCTCTTTCACAATGGTCTGGTGTCGTTTTTAGTGACCAAAGTATTGTATTTTTCTATACTTTATTTCGTTAAACAGGGCATGTCTTGTATGGAGAATTTGTCGCTTTTAAGGACAAGCGGCCTAACCCAGAATTCCGGGGGTTTCCAGAAATCTTGACCTACACTAAAAGTGGGCAATGACCTTCCTATTGGAGAAGTTTGGTTTCATTGGTGGGTATATAATATTTGTTTGGTTAAAAGAAAACTCTCCTTGTCTTTAAAACAAACTGAACAAGGGGCAAAAATTTTACCTTCGATTTTCTCAAAACAGTATTTTTCGGGATAGCCCCCTTGTTCTTAAAACCGACCAATTGTAGATTATGTATGTTCAATGTTGAGTGTACGGGTGATTGGGGAGCAGCGTTGAAGCAGGGAGGGGAAGGGGGGGTCTCTAAAATATGACCTAATTGTGTCAATAAAAGCGTAAAACATTTATAAGTACAAGTAGTTAATCTTACCAGGCAGACATCCTCCACAATAGTCTTTGGGCACACAGTGGAAGGTGGCCTCACATGAGCCGTTGATACAGCCCAGGCCGGCGAACTCACAGATCTGACCACGGACAACAGAACAGATTGATTTGATGGGTTAGGGCCTTATTGTAGCGTCATTTACATAGCGCATACCAACAATGATGTGAGAAATATAAGTCTTACAAGTAGGGCCTAATAGTATAAGTTTATTCTTATCATTGTTGCTGTTAATGGTATTATTGTTATTCTTCTTCTTCTTCTTCTTCTTCTTATTATTATTA